CGAACAAAAAGTATATAGGTAAGCTTCACAGTATAACAAATATAAACAAAACGTGAACGTTGCGGCTATTGAGCCTTCATCAGCACATACAAATTAAACAATACTACATAGAAACACAAAATCACTTAGCTGGTATCTCGATGCGGCCAGTTCGGTTATTACTCAGCAGAATGGCCACGCGTGTCAGCTGAGTCGATGACTTTGGAAGGCTCACTAAGTAAGTCACTGACAGAATAAGGATCTGCAACATTGTAGTGTACCAAGCAGCCGAGCGAGCCCTGGCTCACAATAAGAAGATTAAATAATGTGAGTTAAGAGAGAATATACTAAATGAAATATGATGGTAAACAAAATATGTTTTAGGAGAATCGCTGTGTTATGTGAGGATATTGTTAGTGAATATCTCTTTCACATAAATAAAGCCAGTTAGTTTTGAATATTCTTAATGAAAAGTATTCATAAACACAAACCAAGTTACTTGAAAATATTCTTAATGAAAACATGTTTGTAAACCAGTGATTCCCAAACTGTGCGCCCCGGGGAGCCGCAACCTCTTCACAGAGGGGCCGCGAAATATTGTAGAAGCTTCATAATTAATTTAACCAAGACACTAATAGTTATACTTTCACTTAGGTTATAAACAATTTCAAATGAAAAAAAAATGTATCGCGACCAAGACAAGTTTGGGAAACACTATTGTTAACAAATTGCGTCACTTGAGAATATTGTTACCTAATATAATACACCTGTGAGCAAATTGCTTTACTTCGTAATATTCTTCATGAGTGTTTGTAAACAAATAACAGTCAAATGAGAATATTCTTTTTGGAAAACAAGCCAGCGTGATATAAGAATATTCTTAATTGAATATTTTTGTCAAGAAACGTGCGGCTTTTGTGAATATTCTTAGCAGAATTCATGAAAGAATATTCTCAATGGAACATGTCTGTAACAAACTCACGGCGAACCTCGCTGATAAAGATTTCGGTGGGTGCGTTTTTCTTAACGACTTCTCATAGGTGCCGAAACTGTGGTAGGAGGGGTGAGGTGGTGGAGGGGTGTCAAGCACCCTCAAAAATTATGTGGGGGGGGGGGGGGGGGGTGAGAAGACCGTTTTTTTATACATTCTGTCAACGCCAGTGGCTCAGGCGTTGCGAACGCGCTTCGTAATGCTGGGGTGCCGGGTTCGATCCCAGCAGCGGACGATTTTTCTTTCGTTGGTTTGGACAGTGGTACCGCGAGCCGACCGTTCAGTAAAACAACGGCAAGCTGCTGAACGCAAAATTTTCCTTAAAAAAAAAAAAACACAAAAAGAAAAAAAAAATGCTACGGGTTAGTTCTGCTATGTCATGTAAAGGATATGCAGCTCACTTATACATTCCATATTTTTCCGATATCTTTTAAAAATTGCTGTTCAGTGCATAATAATAATTATTATCAGTAGTAGTATTGTTGCGCATTTAAACAACGCTTAAGTCCCTTAGGATCCCCTCACCCCCTGCCAAAATAAACTTCTATCACTGATAATAACAACAATAGTATATAATAACAATATTATTAATGAGCAGTTAAACAAGGCGAAAGCCTCTCTTCTGCCACTAGACAATTATTGGTGTCGGGCCCCCTCCCCCCTCCCCCCTCCCCCCAAGTGTTTTCTCTATGGCTGCAGGCCTGCCACTCCACTATTTCATCAGACTTATTTTATGTAGATATCTTGCTTACTTGTTTGTTGTTGTTGTTACACAATTGTTTGAACATCTTTGCGGCTACCTCTTTCTTATATAACACGAACAAGTAAACAACATAATCTGTATTAAATATGTAAGATAACAAGGAAGAATGAAGAACCGCGAACTCCACTGCCTGCTCCATTACTCAAGTTCGAAAAAAAAAGTCGGTCACAAATATTGATTTATCGTCGTTTGGCTACCCCAACGGCTGCCTTTTGCTTTTAATGCGTGTGCATGTTATTGGCTTTGCCAAAAGTGCAGTCTGCGATTCTTTTCTTTTAATTCACCCTGTCTTGGGGACTCTGAGATTTCGTGGGGGGTTTCAGGGAAAGTTCACTGGTATAGAAGTGCTAGGTTGTGAAATGAAGACCTACCAACACTAACCCTAACCCCCCTCCCTTCCCCATAATATTGGACTTTCCCGGGAACTCCCCACGAAATCTCGGACTCCCGAACTGGGTGAACTAACAGAAAAGTGCCAGTCTGCTTCAGTTTCTTCCCTTAAGGACAGATTAGCATTATGTGTGATTTTCGCTGCTACGGGCGCGCGGAGCAACTATGTTTGCTGTGAAGCTGCAACAACTGGAATTAGCCGAGAAGGGGGGGGGGGAAGGGGGGGGGGGTGTCTACATCTTCCTATGTCATTCACTTGTGTCAGTCCTAGGAGACCTCTTAGGGACATTTCAGCCACAACGAATCAAGCAGACGTGAATACTACTTGTTAAACAATTTCAGCAGTTTGTCGATAGATATTCGATAGGTCTCCATCATCATCATCATCTTCTTCTTCTTCTGAGGCTGCGACTACTACCACTACTACTACTACTACTACTACTACTACTACTACTACTACTACTACTACTACTACTACTACTACTACTACTACTACTACTACTACTACTACTACTACTACTACTACTACTATTGCTGCTGCTAATTTTCTTCTACTACAATCACCACAGCATTGCTGCTGCTGCTACTACTACTACTACTACTACTACTACTACTACTACTACTACTACTACTACTACTACTACTACTACTACTACTACTACTACTATTACTACTACTATTGCTGCTGCTAATTTTCTTCTACTACAATCACCACAGCATTGCTGCTGCTGCTACTACTACTACTACTACTACTACTACTACTACTACTACTACTACTACTACTACTACTACTACTACTACTACTACTACTACTACTACTACTACTACTACTACTACTTCTACTACTACTACTACTACCACTATTGCTGCTGCTAATTTTCTTCTACTACAATCACCACAGCATTGCTGCTGCTGCTACTACTACTACTACTACTACTACTACTACTACTACTACTACTACTACTACTACTACTACTACTACTACTACTACTACTACTACTACTACTACTACTACTACTACTTCTACTACTACTACTACTACCACTATTGCTGCTGCTAATTTTCTTCTACTACAATCACCACAGCATTGCTGCTGCTGCTACTACTACTACTACTACTACTACTACTACTGCTACTACTACTACTACTACTACTACTACTACTACTACTACTACTACTACTACTACTACTACTACTACTACTACTACTACTACTACTACTACTACTACTACTGCTACTACTACTACTACTACTACTACTACTACTACTACTACTACTACTTCTACTACTACTACTACTACCACTATTGCTGCTGCTAATTTTCTTCTACTACAATCACCACAGCATTGCTGCTGCTGCTACTACTACTACCGCTACCTATGCTCCTCTTATTTTTTCCCTTCTACTTCCTCTCTTCTTTCTGCTTCACCCCCCCCCCCTTTTTTCTTCTTTATTTCCTTCATCTCCTTTTTTCATCCTCCTACTCTTCTTCCTCCTCGCCCTTCCCATTTCTTACACAATCACACGCCAGCGTAGATATATTTTAATAAAATCACCAGTCAGCTAGAGGTTGCTAACATCCCCATAGTTCATCCTTGAGACAGGTGCATGCTAGAACACTCTAGAACCAGTGGACATTTGCCAAGTAACAATCACATGAATAATAAATTCCCATGCACTGATGCGCTGCCGCAACAGATCACTATACGAATTTTAAAAAGTATGCGTGAAACATACCCATAGCTACCAACATCCCTGGCTTAAGCCGTGCTGTTATTTTTAAATATTTTCTTTCTTTTCAAAAAGTACCCACGAGTGCCTCCGAATCTTTCCTCTCGTCGTTCCAATGGACAGTGGAAGTTTCCCAAGCCCTTGATTTCCCTATGCACAAAATAACAACATGCGAGCAGCGCATTCGCCAGACAATTGGAATAGGGACAATTCGGTCGCGAGACGCGCACCTAGGGTGACGTCACCCCCACGTTTTCTTCCAACCCGCCCCTCTCACGTGTATAAAACAGCACGAGTGAGCCAAACAGTTCCGTCAGAAGGTAAACAAACTTTGACGATCGTCGATACTCAAGTTAAATAAAACAGACTAACTGCATTAAGACCCAACTTCATTTGAAATATAGTTTTGGTTCTGGAGTCACTACCTACGGACAGTACTTATTATTATGTAAGTGTTTATTTTTTAAAGAAAATTTTTATGCTAGATCTACTATGATTTATACTTTATCTCAATCTTTGTTGCTGCTGCCGCCACTGCTACAACAACAACAACTACGACAACTACTGCTTCTAAAACTATTGCTACAACTACTGCAACGTCCACCACCACTGCTCAGCCTGCTGCTGCTTCTGTTGCTACTACTGCTACAACTGCTGCTGCTGCTGCTGCTACTACTACTACTACTACTACTACTACTGCTGTACTGCTGCTTGTGATAGCTGCATCTTATTGTTACTATCTGTACTTCAGCTATTGCTGTTAACTGTTACTATTGATGTTACTACTGCTAATGCTACTACTGCTGCTGTTGCTGTTTCTACAGCTGATGCTGATGCTGCTACTGCTACTGCTGCTGCTGCTACTACTACTACTACTACTACTACTACTACTACTACTACTACTACTACTACTACTACTACTACTACTACTACTGTTAGCGATCTTCACAGTAAAGGTTGACAGCAACTTATCTCTAACATTCTACATCCCCAGCCCTGGTTCACCGTCTCTAACTGATTTTTGCCCATCTCTTAATGCTCTACCTATTATATACCTAGTTGTTACCATGAGTTTTATTCCCTACTGATATTATTAAATTAACTTTACTCACAGATCCAGCGTTTGGAGAATAAAACCTCTAGAAAATGCGGGAACATTGTCACCTCCCTCAGTCCATCGGCGTCGTTGGATTCCCCTTCTCCAAGGGACAGGTATTGACCGTTCTGTTGTTTATATTTGTTATCTATCACCGGAAGCTGCATGGCTTGTGGTTCATATTTTCCTTTTAACTCTTTAAGTACGAAAACGCATTATGTATGAATTCTTCTTCTTCGTGTTTACCAGCTGTACTTTCTGGCGTAAAGTTCTGGTTGTTCGTCCACTTCAGTCCTGCTGCAGAACCTGAGTGTTGCGTGTGCATGTTTTACAGATCTGATTCAATTGAATGTAGACTGTTGATTCCTTGCCTCTCAGGCAGATGCACTCCGACTTATGAATTGATTTTACTCATGTAAACCAGGTATGAATGAAAGGTCAGACCGTCTGTAAAAAGTCCGGAAAACGTTAACAGGACCGGAAAAGTGTCTGACTGACGTTCAGCCCCACTATGACATCGCACCGAGCGATTAACACCCGGTTAAACAAAGTGCCACCATTCGGATGAGGATCATGGAAACCCCGTTCAATCCATAGGTTGTGTTATATTAGGGCCGCCGGCAACAGCCAGGGTGCCGCTTTAAAACAACAACAACAACAACAAAATGCGTCCAACATCGGGATGCAGTAGTTACCAGTGTAGGAAAAGTAGAGGGTAGAGAGAGGGGCAAAGAGAGAGAAAAAAAGTGCTAAACAGTTTGGAATCATGGGATGGATTATTATGTATAAAATAATTGACAGTGCACCAAGCAGAAGCTTCATCGACCACCGGCCGGTGGACGACTTCGTCGTAGGTGGGGACAGTATTTATTTCTCCTTTGATGACAACAACACTGCAAGAATCCTTTTCATGACTACTTAGTTGCGAGCAATGTTAAACCATGGCGCAAATAACATAAGTCACAGTTATAACCAAAAGCTCCCCCTTTGGGGATGCTAGTTGAAAAGGACGATTTCCCCCCCCCCCCCCCCCCCAAACAAGGCAAGGCAAGCAGAAGGTTGTAGAAAACACACGATTAACAACACCACCCGTTGTTGACCCAAGTATTAAGACTCCGTACCTGTAAAACTGCCTTGGCATAGAAATTTCTTGAATACCTGCGTTTGTTGATATTTTCTTACCTTGTTATATATAACACGGTGGTTTCCCTGTCCGTTACTACGCGTTTGCCCGTTCTCCGTTACTGAAATAAAAGCGCTACAGACCAGAAGAGGGCAGTAAGTATTGGAGTGCTGCATGCTTGTCTTGTCATGTTTTCTAATAAACGTAGAACACCGAATTAAAATCCGTTGTAGGGAACTTTGGCCCTCCTGCTCCTAGTCCACGCTGCTTGTTGTTGTGAATCTACGTATGTTTGTAAAAGTGCTCCGCCACAATGACAACACTCGGAGGGGTGGGGTTGTGGACCCAGAACCCCCCTCCTCTTAAAAAATATAATTTAAAAGGGAGAGGGGCTATCTTGCTTAATTACTGTACTTCCATGTGCCTTCAGGGGCCGACTGTGGGGCTGGGGGTGTGGATGGGGGTGGGGGGGGGGGGTAGACCCAATGCCTTTCTTAAAAAGTGTAAGTAAAATATAAGAGCAGTACTAATTACGGGTTTCTTTCGAAGTCGGAGTACATGTGCCAGAGAGGCAAGGAATCAACAGTCTGCACACGAATCAGCCAGATTTCTAAAACGGATGTGTACTGCACACAAAACATGTGCCAGAGAGGCAAGGAACCAACAGTCTGCATACGAATCAGCCAGGTTTCTTAAAACGGATGTGCACTGCACACAAAACATGTGCCAGAGAGGGCGAAGAAGTGGACTTACTAAAATAGTTTTATATAAGAGTCTGCTGAATGGCAAATACTACATTTCCAATAGTACGAAATATGTTTTTTTTTTTAAATTCTATACATGGGGGGGGGGGGGGGGGGGGTGCTGGCAGCTTAGCCCACTTACAAATTTAGGGTGGAGGGAGCGGAGAGAAGTATCTATTCGGTACAACTCACGATTCTCAAAACATCTCGTAAGGCTGCGTGATTTCTCAGCAGTTACCACGGGCTGTCCTATGTTATGGGGGTGTCAGGTGTGGCTTGTTTTGAACGTTTTAAGCACATCCACTACCGATGACAGCCACAGCTAACTAGCGTAAAAAATACAAAAACATTTAATACAAATCGTCGCGCCTTTGGCGCTACCTCCAGTAGTACTTCTTCCTTGCACACAGGCGCCTGTGAGTTAATGAGAACAACACATTCCAGAAACAACACTCGTTCGCAGAGAAGAAAACGGCGAAAAGAAAGTCGCGCAGTTTTGTCTGGAAGACAGTGTGTCGACCTCGTTGAACGAACTTGAGATTGACTTTTCGGCACGTTGTGTCTAGACATCGAAGGAAGACATCGCAGAACACCCCTTCAACATGGAACAGCCCGTGGGAACCGCTACGAAATCACACAGCCGAACCAGATGGGGTGACAAACGTGTGTTGTGCCATCTGTTCTTCTCTCCAAGTTCATAAACACCGGTGTATGTAATACTAATTCTGGGACTTCACGCTTGGGGTCAGGAATACTAGAATGAAACCAGGTCACGGAGGAAATATAGCACAAACAGAATAGATAGCACTGACTAAGTCGAGGTTGGGTGTTTTCTATGCGGCGTTAAGATTTTTATATGCGGCGTTACGATTTTTCTATGCTTCGTTATGATATTTCTATGCGGTGTAAGATTTGTCTATGCTTCGTTATGATATTTCTGTGCGGCGTTAAGATTTGTCTATGCTTCGTTATGATATTTCTATGCGGCGTTAAGATTTGTCTATGCTTCATTATGATATTTCAATGCGGTGTAAGATTTTTCTATGCGGCGTTAAGGTTTTTCTGTGCGGCTTAAGATTTTTCTGGGCCGCTTAACATTTCGTTCTCAAGAGACTCAAACCAAATTCCATTGTCAGGTTGGGGACCACTGCTCTAGTTTTGTGCACTGGAGTAGCAAGGTCAGGTGATATCTGGTGCGGAAATTTTCCTGACAACACCCCCTCCTACCCCTCCCCCCCCCCCCCCAAACATTTTTTTTTTTAATTTTAAAAACAAATTGTTGTACTTTTCGAGAGTGATGAAACCTATGTTACAGGCATTCTCTTTCTCGGAATAAAAACGTAAATGCAAGACAACAGAGACAGCAAACAACAGAGCGGCACACCTTTAACCACCAGCACGGTAGATTCGTCCAACAAAGTTATCAATGGAACGTGACCTACTTTGTGTGGGGAGACTAACGTTTGTTTGACCAACTTTTCATTTAGGCGGTTTTTCGGGAACAATAAATTGTCAACACCCATGGTTACATAGGGAGTCTCTGTGGTGTAACGGCGTTAATAAAGGCCGGCAGTGTGTTGTTGGGGCTCCCACTGGTAGCAACGAATAGTAACACTGCAATCTACTAATTATCATCTTCTTATGCCGTGATACTAGGGTAGGTTTTCATGCTTTGCCATCTCACACAGTCACCACAACCACGGATCAAGTCAGTGCTCTTACCGCACCCCATCATTATGGCCAAGCCAGCCAGCAGTTTATCTCTTTGCCTTCGCCTTGCTCTTTTTTTTTTTCAGTCTTGCTGGTGGCCCCCAAGTTATTGAGTCTATACCTTCTCAAAACACCCTACTGTGTGTGTCGTAAGAGGCGAGACCTTTTGGCCCACAGACGAGCATTTAGTAGCTACAGCATGGTGGCTCCCCACCCTCCTCTACAGCGCCCAGGAACTTTAAAAAAAAAAAAAAACTCTCCTTTTCAAAGTCATGGTGGACCCAAGCCGTACTATAGTTGGGAATAAGAATCCTGATGCTGATGGGGATTAAACTAGGACTTGCAAGCCTAAAGTCTTGGGTTCGAATCTGCATCGAGGTGGATATTTTAAACAAAAATGACCTTGGCTACCAGAACGATCCAGCCTAGAATGGAGGCCAAGTAGTGTCCTGGAGAGTAAATATATAATATATGTCATCCTCGTTACTTGAAACTAGTAAAACTGACCAAGTTGTGTTACCATCTTTCACAGCCTCGGACTGGAGCAGAACTAGGACCCGGCGCTCTACGGGAGGCTGGTCTGGTATCACAGCTGGAATCACTGGGTATGCTGCATTTAAAATAAATGATTATTTGTAAAGTTAGATTGCATTTTATTTGGTGTGTCTTCAGACTGTTACATTTTTTTTTCGGGATTGCTTCTTGAAAGTTCAAGTTTGTAAACTTTGGATGATTTCAATCAATAAATTAAAAGTCTTCTTCACAATATTAAGCTGCTGCCCTCTCTCTGGTTGCTTGGAAGGGTCAAGTGTAAGACGGGCCTGCGTGCCTATTTTGTGACCCTTTGAAAATAAAGTTTGTTCTTTCGTTCATTCTTTCTCAACATTTACTGTCTTTAATTTTCTGTCTTCTTCTTTTGTCAAAATCTGCTTGTGCCGCTAGGCGTCGCAGTCTATCAGATGATCGGCAACCGAGCCAGGGCGCGCTCAGTCGCTTCATATGCCGTGATGTTATGAAGTCTCAAGTTGTCCGTGACTCCTTCAATCCATCTTCTTCTTGGTCTTCCCCTGCCTCTTGTTGTTTCGATTTTCATGTTGTATGCTCTTGATGCTGGCATCGTTGGTTCCATTCTCATTAGGTGACCAAACCATTTCATTCTTTGCTTCTCAATAAATTTAACGATGGGTATGGTTCCAATTTTCTGTACATTGGGATAAACTTATATTCATCAGTTTCTTGGCGTGAGCTTCTCACTTGTACCTTTATCTACCCCTTGCCCCCCACCCCATCTGTTTTCCAATCAAATGTATTTTATCCTTGTCCACCCCTTGCTCCCTATCTGCTTTCACATCCAGTATATTGTCATCATTATAAGTTAATAAGTTAGAATTCTGATGTAATTGCCATAACTTTCAATTTTCATACTGTCTGGTGTGATCTTTTTTAATGTCATCCTCTCCTATTGCCATGGTTCATTGAACGTATTTATTCTGGTTTTTACAAGAGTGGCATCTTTTGATGTGGTAACAATGTTTTACATATTTTTTTTAAATTATGAGTTATTATCTGAGCTATTAATGCAGCAACCCGACCAGCACAAAGATGGACCCAGGATATCAGTGACGCCTTGGGTCGGAAAGTGCATGAGGCGGGAGAGCTGCGAGAGATAATGTTTCTCCCAGGCAGACTGTGATGAGAGCAATGTTCTGCATATAAAAAAAAAAAGCCACATTATACAATCGCACATTATCTGCTGGACTCCAAGCAAATGATTAACCTACTGTACCTTACTTGTAATTTCCTACAAACCCTACTTATGCCCCTTAAAATATGCTAAAGCAGTGGTATTGTACATTACGAACCAAGTTATGCAAAAAAATAAGAAAGTTTCATTAATCTAAGGCTTGTGAAAAATGTACAATGGACTACACAGTATGTGTATTTTGATTGACACAGTTAATTGTTACGCTCATGTAATTTCTATAGGATGCACCCGACAAGATACATAAAAAATTTAATAAATAAACCATGCCAGAAATTGAGAATATCGAAACAATATATATTATTTTTGTTCTTATTGAAATTCAGAGTAAGGAAACATTTCTTTGTATTTGGGGTAATTGTATGGGAGGGAAACACAGCAAAGGAAGGCAATAAGTCACCTCACCTCATTAGGCCAAAGACTAGAAAGTGTACAGACCTAGCAACTTACATGTACTCTTCTGACACAATAGAGATGATGATGATGATAGTATATTCTTCTTCTTTGTTCACCGGTTGTAAGCTCTGGTGGAAAGTTTTGGTTGTTCGTCCATTTGGATTTTGACTTCGTGCCAAGGACTGAGTTTTGCATATAAATCAATTTTACTGGCTTATTTGTGTGCAGTTGGTTGTTTTTTTGCCGCTCGGGCAGATGCACTCTGACTTTGTATGAAGTCCCCAGTTAGTTGACTCCTATGACATGCTTGCTGGGGAGGCAGTGGGTCTATTCTTGTTTTCTATACAATGGGGTCCTGGCACCCATATGGGGAGGTAGATTATTATATTTCATTGTATAATTGTCTAAGTATGCAACTTCTTTCCATTATGGTGCTGTCTATCATGAACTTCTACTCTACCTTGAAAACAATGTTTGCTTCACATGTCCAGTATTTAATACTCACCCCATTCACCCCCATATATCTCAACCAGGCAATCATGTGATAGACTTTGGAGATGTTGAGCTGGAGCCAGTGTCCAGAGATGAGCCAGTGATGGGCGTCAAGAACCCACTGGCTGTGGGGACAGCCAACAAGAAGGTCAGTTAAAGAACATGCTATTGTGTTTCCTGGGGAAATACTACTTTTGATGAATGAAATTATAGGGCTTCATATGTACTACCTATTTCGCCAAAGTATAAGACTGTACCGTGTATAAGACACACCTTGATTTTAGGAAGGCAAATTGGAAAACAAATAATGTGAGTACATAAAGTTGACCTCAAGTTTTATTATCATAGAATCTAAAAAACTCCTCATCACTGTCAAAACTCTCATCCATATGATAGTTCTTTAGCTTGTCCTTGTTTGTGTTTGATGACGAATCACCTTGTTCACATATTATCTCATCCTCAGTCCTTATGTGGTATTTGAAATGCCTCACTTCTTAAATGACTTGACAATGATCTCAGTCTTCACATTATCCCAGGATATTTTCACCCAGATACAAAATTCTCCTATAGATGGTTTCATCACGCTACCCCCTGCTGGTGTCAGATTGTACCAAGAAGACTGTTGCCCTGGTAATCCTAAATGAGGCAATGTACAAGATATTTTCTGTCAAATGATTTGATAAAAATTTACTACCAGTGTGTAAGATGCAAACTGTTTTGAGACCCTATATTTTTAAAAAGTATATGTGTCTTATACTTTGGCAAATACAGCAGGACATGGCATAATGAGACTGACTCACCAGCACTTCTCTTGGCTGTATTACCACAGAAATTCCTAGTTCAGTTGAGTCAAGAATTGACATCACAGCACTTAGGGCAATTTCATGCATGCTCTGTCCTCATCTTCAGCAGCCAGTGCAGAGCTCCAATGCTGATGGTACCGGTCACAATCTGGTTATATGTCTCTCTTGCCTTTTCTCTGAGTGTAGTGAGCCGCCCAGACCCTCTGGTTACACCCAGATGCCTCATTCTCTCCAGGCCTTAATAGTCTTGTTTCTCTACGAATTCCGTTGCTTGTTCCCAAAGGGCCTTGACCACACCTGCCTTGTAGACATTCCTAATGCACCTTGACTTAACACCTGTGTGATTTATGACCATCCACACTTATGACCACTAGCAAATAAAGAAAGATAACGACAGTGGTCAAAAAGTTCCCACAACTGATGCCTAGAGCGCAGTAAGATCTGTTTGACCCTACTGTCTATGGCAGACTGTCTGGAACCACAGGCCTTTCACTGCCCCTGCTTTATGTACAATTGTTATAACCAGTTTGAATGAAGAAAGTAAAGTTAAATAAAGGACCCTTTTCCATGCCTTCAGGTGTACTGGGCAAATAGGGCTGGACCAATTTTTTTTATAGATCAGTCGGCAAATGATGAGTGATGTGGTCAACATCACGCTGGTCACCTTTACTTCCCAGGACTTTTGAGTTAAAATAGTGTTTAAAAAAGTATAAGTTCAACTTCTAACCAGTTCGACTTACAACTTGTGTGTGCGAACGGAACTCGATGTAAGGTGAGGAGACCCTGTACTAAGTTTAATTTTTGATTTTCTTTTTTTGTATGGGGTTTTGGGGCCTGCTGTCTAAAGGTTCGATACCATAGTGATCTGATGAGTCATGATTCATATATCAATCCAACAAAAACTGATTCAAGTCCTGGTTTATTTTACAAACAAGGTTATGATTAGAAGTTGTTGGCTTTTAATCAATTCAGCTACCACAACCTACCGACACTGGACTACAAGTTTCTACATTTACAGTCAAGTACCCAGTATAACTGTTATATGGTTTCTGGGATTCGTATTTGTTTGATTCTCATCCGTGAGATGTGAATCCTACAAAATGCAATCCCAGAGGGTATTTTAAAAAAAACTGGCTTTTAATGTTTATACAGTGAAGACAGCTATAAGCTGGTTCACCAATGTGCATTATACATTTAAGAAAGAATAATGTTTAAAAAAAAAAAAATTAAAGATTAAATAAAAGTGTCAAGAGGGACTGACTGACACTAACTAACAAAAGACAAAAAGGTAATTAAGAAATAAAAAGACACTGACAACGATTCACACATCAGTTTCAAAAATATAACCATGAAATGATGTCTTTGCTGTACCCAAGTAACAGTTGTTACCGCACTATCATTATGCTGCTACCTTGTGTATCATCATCATTGTCCTGTTGTACCGTTTTTTTTTGTCACATAGGGCTCACAGTTAATTCTTCTGGCTCTGGATGCAACGAAACGTCGTGGGGGACGGGTCTGTGTAGTCTGGTCCAGGCCTCTAGTGGAAAAAAAAAAGTCTTATCCCTTAAAAAGTCAAGGTGTCTGAAATGTTTGATAGTCTCCCTCTGCCAGTTGCAATCATCTAACATGTGTCTGATGAAGCAGCCATAAGCTTGTCACTTGGTCGTTAAGGTAGCCGGTTGATCTAATGGGCTACTGCAGCGACAATACATGTATCTAACTTCGAATCTCACAGTACCCATTGTATAGTCAACATTTTCATCTTGTCCCTGTCCGAGAACATCCGGTAAAGTGTAGCAGGGGAAGATTGAGGCCTGGGAGTCATGACCCAGGTCAGCACACCCTCTGAAATTGTCTAGGAAGTAATAGGCTGAAACAATTGTCGACGAGGGATCTTCTACTGATGATTCATGGACTCCTGCTGTACATGCTCCCATGTGGAGTTCTTCTTATTCTTATTCCATTCTTTTCTCTCCTGTGCAATCAGTTCAATATCATGGATGGAAACCAGTCAAGCACCTTTGACCTCTCTCATGTCAACATTCATTTTAAGGTGTTTTTTTTGTGTGTTTTTTTTGCCATCCTCGATTCCTCAATCCCTTTTTTCCCTTTTTTAGTGCCTGTTTGGTGATTTTTCTGCTGGTTTCTTCTGAGGATGTGTCAGATATAGTGCTACCTTCTCTGTCAAATAACTGTTGTTACCAGTAGTTACCCAGATATATCTCTTATTTCTATATCCCTTGTGAAATAATCCCATTTTATGTACAGTGTTTTCCTCAGGTATCAAAGATTAAAATTCCGAACAATGAAAGATCAAAAGTGGTATACATAAACTTGGTATATATGTTCTGTTATTTCATACCTCTATGTTTGTTAAAATTCATTATATAGCAGTTAAAACAATGGGTTTCCTGTAATACTATTTCCGTATTCTGTTGGTCCCCAGTTGTCTGATGCCGTCACCAAGCTGCTTAAACAGAACCAGTCCATCATCACCCTGGGCGGGGATCACAGCATGGCCATTGGCTCAATCCATGGCCACGCCCAGGTGGAGCCGGACCTGGTCATTGTATGGGTGGATGCTCATGCAGACATACACACGCCCCTGACATCTCCCAGTGGCAACATTCACGGCATGCCTCTCTCATTTCTGGCCAGGGAGCTTCAGGATTACGTTCCTGATCTGCCAGGCTTTGATTGGTGTTCTCCTTGGTAAGCTTCAGGATTATTTTATGGGTAAACAGTACGCAAAAAAACATACAGATAGATAAAGATACAGATCAGCTAACAGAAAGGGTGAAGTTAGTTTTCATTAGCGGCTCTTTAGATTACCTACAAGGCAGCAGGTGTGTACCTCCTCTCTCCATTTTAACTTGGCCAACACAGAAGACCCACCTACTAACTATGCTACTGTTGACAGAGCTCTTTTTGTAGTACTTTGTCGTCTCACTGTAACCAGGTTGTAGCCCAGTGTTGTGGTTTTCTGTAGTTGTCTTGCGCTTCTCAGGTGGTTTGAGTGATGGATTTGTTCATCTTTTTGCAGGTTTCTTCTACACCATGTATCCATATTTTTCTTAACCTTCCTGTTGCCTTCCTTCTAGATGTTCCACTGTTAAAAGTCTCAAATGCAGTCATATGCTGTCTGGTTTGGCTGCATTCTCATAAGATAGTCAAGATGGCCGAACCATTTCATTCTTTGTCTGTCAATATAATCCAGTACTGCAGCATTAAAAGCTGTTTTACTACTTTTAGGTGGAGACACATTGATTACTACTTAAGGTGGAGACACATTGATTACTACTTAAGGTGGAGACACATTGATTACTACTTAAGGTGGAAACACATTGATTACTACTTAAGGTGGAGACACATTGATTACTACTTAAGGTGGAGACACATTGATTACTACTTAAGGTGGAGACACATTGATTACTACTTAAGGTGGAGACACATTGATTACTACTTAAGGTGGAGACACATTGATTACTACTTAAGGTGGAGACACATTGATTACTACTTAAGGTGGAGACACATTGATTTCTACTTAAGGTGGAGACACATTGATTACCACTTAAGGTGGAGACACATTGATTACTACTTAAGGTGGAGACACATTGATTACTACTTAAGGTGGAGACACATTGATTACTACTTAAGGTGGAGACACATTGATTACTACTAGCCTTTGACTGTCTGCTAGTGGCAAGGCATGTATGTAGCAGCTGTACTTGCTGCTAACACTTTTCATTGCCAAAAGAAAATGCATTATTTACAATTTATTATTACTATTAACCACTTTTTTTTTTTTACATATATGCCCCTCAGTTTACGTCTCACAAAGCAAGTGAATCTTGTTAAGAGTATTAATGTAGCAAAAAGAATGCTGACTGCATGCTTATGCCACCCCTGCAGATACTGTAGCATGTGTGCTGCTAGTTACTACTACTACAATACTGGCTGCATGTGCATACTCCCAACAGTGAAGCATTTGGGAGGATAATATCATATGTACTCTCTCCAGTGATGGGACTATGTGTATATTTTATTGCATATCACGTAATTATATTTCATTGTATATAATGGGCCTTTTTGTACCCTTTACTGCACAGAGTAGGACTATATCCACTTTACTGTGTCCAGTTAGATTATAATACACTTTTTACTGTATACCACAGGATTATGTTAATCTTCTACCTGTACCATGAGATTATATGATTATATGTGCCAATGGGTATTCTTGCTATAGTCGTTCTCTGCATGCCCTGTCTGTAAACAAACATTTTTAGAACAAAGAAATGGCCTCAGGATAATACTAAGATAAAATTCTTGATGTTGTAATCACTTGAAGAAATATACAGGGAGATTTTTTAAAAATCAGAGTCTCATAGTACCAGCCCTTTGTAAGCTTTCTAACAGCTTTTTTGTAATTCTGTTTATTATTTTATGGACCACTGTGTTGAAATGCAAACAGGCAAGTCCTTAGGTATACACAGCTTATAAAAGAATATATTAATTATTATTCTATCTGTTTCTTTATCAAGCCTGTTATAAATGTAGTTCATATTATCTGATGTTATTATAACTTAGCATTTTGTATGGATATCAATTTCTAACAGGTGTTTTAAAATGTGATTTCAGCATTTCAGTTCATGACATTGCCTATATTGGTCTCCGAGATGTGGATCCAGCTGAAAGGTATTACAAATAAGATATTACAAATTTTGTAACTGAAACAAACTAAGAAATGTGGCAGGTGTAGACAATATGAAGAAGCAAGTCTCTGTAGAATTAACAGTAGTTTATATGTATCACTTAGAAGACTAGCAGTTTTGTGTATTTTTCAAAATAGAGATAAAAGTGATGACTGTTTGAAAGAAAAAATGTTATTACTTTTATTAACTCTTTTGGTATTTGGCTCTAAATTAAAGAGTCTTAATGTCAACAACAAAAATGATTGTGTCTTTCAAGTTCATAAATCACTAGTTTTAGTAATTTGATTGTGTCTTTCAAGTTCATAAATCACTAGTTTTAGTAAATTGATTGTGTCTTTCAAGTTCATAAATCACTAGTTTTAGTAAATTGATTGTGTCTTTCAAGTTCATAAATCACTAGTTTTGGTAAATTGATTGTGTCTTTCAAGCTTGTTAACCACAATTTTTGGGAAATTAATTGTGTCTTTCAAGCTTGTTAACTACAGTTTTTGGTAAACTGTGTCTTTAAAGCTCGTTAACTACAATTTTGGGTAAACTGTGTCTTTCAAGCTCGTTAACTACAATTTTTGGTAAACTGATTGTGTCTTTAATGCTCGTTAACTACAAATTTTGGTAAACTGATTGTGTCTTTCAAGCTCATTAACTACAATTTTTGGTAAACTGATTGTGTCTTTCAAGCTCGTTAACTACAATTTTTGGTAAACTGATTGTGTCTTTCAAGCTCGTTAACTACAATTTTTGGTAAACTGATTGTGTCTTTTAAGCTCGTTAACTACAAATTTTGGTAAACTAATTAAGTCTTTCAAGCTCATTAACTACAATTTTTGGTATACCCAACAGGGCTATTATTGAGAAGTTTGGAATTTGCAGTTACTCCATGCAGGAAGTGGATAAGTTTGGAATCCGGGAGGTTGTCGATAGGGCACTTCAGCAGCTTGATCCTAGGTAAGTGTATAAAAGAGACACAAGGAGCATTGAGCAGTTAGACTTGTGATGTAAGCAATTAAATCAGAAAAGTTAAAACATGTCATTACAGTTGCATGTGTGTACTAAACTGAGTTGTTAATTTGAAATTGGAGGATAAGAGGGAACTGGTAAAATATGCACATGGAGATCATCTGTATATTCTCACTCACGCTTTACATAAAAAATCTCCATGCTTCCCTTACAATGTGAGTAAAGAAAACATTGATATGAATGTACAACCTGTCTTTAGAAAACCATAATTCTTACATATCGTTTAGAAAACCTCCGTACACTCCTTAAAGTTTGTGCTAGGAAAACCTTCACATTTCAATTCAGTTAATGAATGGAATTTATATATATATATAATGTACACACACACATAAATATATTGATAACTTTCATATTATGTCAAATTGTTTATAGAAAGAAAAAATGTTGATGCTTACAGATATTTTGTGTTTTTCAAACCATATTATGTGTCTACTGCCAGCATCATCATATATATAGCAGGTTCCTATACAGAATATTGATCTTATAGCCCACCTGAAAGAAAAGGTGTCTCCCCCCCCCCCCCCCCCTTCCACTCCTTTTATGCACTTTCCTATCCAAAGAGTCTCTTATATCATAAGCCCATTTTTTTGCTGGTTGCCACACACCCCCCCCCCCCCCCCCACTCAACTTTCCTGGTACCGTGCCCTCTGCCATTTCTTTCCAGTCCAACATGGCGCTTGATTTGGCGGTGATTTGGCCTAAATATTTTAGTTTCTGTGACAAAATAGGGTTTTTAAACCAATGTTCCTTGATGTTCAGATCATTTAGGATGGTCATTTTCTATTTTTCTTACTTGGTTGATGGTATTCTGAGAATCTTTGTGTAGCATTTTTAGTGGGTCAGGAATAAATACCACAGGTGAGTTCCAGGGGCCATTACTCTAAGGTGTTTTGGATAAAACTGTGTGGGCAGTTCAGTCCCCTAGGATTTAAGATGAAATTGCTATTGACAATTCAGTCCTCTAGGTGTTAAAGTGCCCAAAGTAAAAATAAAACAATTTTCAAGAGACGTATGAAAGAAAGATGCATGCTCCGAAAATTGTCTTTAATTCTCTTGCTGGTGATAAACCACAGTATTTTATTGCTGTTAAATCTCTGGATGTGCTGTACAGTCTGCATCTAGATAACCTTTATAATTTATTTAAAAAATGATAACACTTTTTAATATTTTATAATATTTGTTCCTGGTTCAGTGGCACACGACCAATTCATCTCAGCTTTGATGTGGATGGCATGGATCCAAGCTTGACCCCCTCTACAGGAACCCCAGGTCAGTCTGTTTCACTCACTTACTCACATTTTAATATAAAAACTGTTAAACTGATATATAACAAATGGATGTTGTGAGGGCCCTTTGGGAGTGAGTGAACAGTGCCAAGGAACAGCTAGATCATTACGGTCTGAGGAGAATGGCATTGTGAGTAGTTACAAGGGGATCTGGCCAACGCTCAGGGGAGGGGCGAGACAGATATACAATCAGACTGTTACTGGTACCATTGGAATTTTAACTCTTTGCTTGCTGCTGAAGATGGGGACGGAGCGCTTATGGGAGTGTCCCGAGTGCTGTGATGTTGATTCTTAATTTAACATTCAACAACATTCAATATTCAACTCACATTTTCTATCACAGAAAAGTGTTGTTTCTCATGATGAATATTAGAAAGTTTCTTTTACTTAATTATATTTTATCGTGATATCTCTACCTCTGTGATGGAGAAGAGATTTCCCTGTCAAAGGGGCAGTAAAGCAGTTTCTTCTCTCCACTAGCCTTCAGGATACCCTTGGGGAAGGGGAAGTACCTGTTTAGCTCCAGTCAGAGTAAGGTGAAGCCATGCGAGCAGGTTGTGGTCTGAGCTTGAGATCAGAAGATAGGTCCACTAGCCTTCAGGGCACCCTTGGGGAAGGGGAAGTGCCTGTTTAGCTCCAGTCAGAGTAAGGGGAAGCCATGGGAGCAGGTGATGGACTGAGCTTGAGAGCAGAAGATAGGTCCACTAGCCTTCAGGGCACCCTTGGGCAAGGGAAAGTGCCTGTTTAGCTCCAGTCAGAGTAAGGTGAAGCCATGGGAGCAGGTGATGGACTGAGCTTGAGAGTAGAAGATAGGTCATGATCTCAAGTTTCCCAGCTGTGGGCAGAAGATAACACTATAGCAGGAAGCCACGACCTCTTCACAGGAGCGCCGCAAAATATTCGAAGATACAAAGAGTTTTATTTTTTTTTTTTTTAAATCTCTTACATACGAATAGTCAAACTTTTACTTAGGTTAGGGCGCCATAGAAACATTGTAATTGAACAAAGGTGCCGCAACTAAGACAAGTTTGGGAAACACTGCTATAGTGGCAATGGCTAGTCACCAACAACTACTGTAATTATCAAATCAGAAAGCAATGGCAGACTTCCATTTTCTAATATGCCAAGAAAATAAACGATGATTAGGTACTTGATACAGCTTCAAATAGATTATATAGACTCATGCTCTGTAGAAGCAGCCTCACTCGATAGGGAGAGTTGTGTGTACCAGATGGCTCTAGACCGGTGATTCTCAGCCTTCCCAATGCTGCGACTCTTTAATACAGTTCCTCATGTTGTGGTGACCCCCCAAACATTACATTATTTTTGTTGCTACTTTATAACTTCAGTGAATATGTGTTTTCCGATGGTCATAGGTGACCCCTGTGAAATGGTCATTTGACCCCCAAAAGGGATGCAACCAATAGGTTGAGAACCGCTGCTCTAGACTATCAACAGGCAACTGTTTTTAAAAGAAAAAATATATTGAAGATAAGCTTAGACATTAGACATACGGGCCAAAAAATATACAATAGCAGTAGAAGTACTTTTTTTTTTTTTTGGTTTCAAGGATAGGAAAGAAAAAAAAATGATGGAAACAAGACAAATGTGGCTGTACAACAAGAAAAGGAAATTTTTTTACTGCAGGACAGGCGCACACCCATATACACATAATTGGGAAACTTGGTGACAACTAGTAAACTTGATGTAAAAAGAGCAATGAAGAAACGGAGGGATAATTACCATGATGGCTTGGCCAGTTGGTCTGGTTAAAACAATGGCCTGATATATGTATCATTCTGGGGATCACGCAAGATACCAAACCACAACAGTTCAAATGTGTTCATATCAGCATAGAACTTTGTGGTCTGTCCAGTGTCTTTCATCTTAATTTCTCTCTGTCTTCTTCAATCTCCACTTCATTATTTGATTTACTTTCCTCCTCCGTGCTCATACATACAAGCATGTGCACACCCGCGTACACACACAGTTAATGCAATTTTGTCTGGTACCTAAGTTAATTACCTCTTTTAAGTATGAATCAAATCTGTGAATACGTAACTAATTTACTAACGTAAATTATACGTTCTTTCCAATAGTATTATTTTGGACATCTCTTATTATTATTATTGTTATTATTATGCTTAGTTCAGTGTTATATATTATATATTATATTTATCTGCAGTTCCTGGGGGCCTCTCATTGAGGGAAACCTTGTATCTTGCTGAAAAAATTGCTGAGACAGGTAAGAGTGGATTATTCATATTTCAGGACTATTCTCATAGTTGTCATAGTACTAGGAAATCTGTGATAGTCAAGGGGGTTAACACTAATATTAAACTTAAAATATTCAGCTGTGTCAAATCAGTACTGCTGTGTGGAGCAGAAACGGGGATGAAGTACAGCAGAAACAGGGAGGAACTATAGCAGAAACAGGGAGGAACTACAGCAGAAACAGGGAGGAACTATAGCAGAAACAGGGAGGAACTATAGCAGAAACAGGGAGGAACTATAGCAGAAACAGGGAGGAACTACAGCAGAAACAGGGAGGAACTACAGCAGAAACAGCTACTGATGACTACAAAATATTCACTAGCTTTTTTGTTTTTTTCACCGGGTCAGCCTTCCCTCAACTGAAACCGCCCGGCTCTGAGTTTGTGATGGCTCATGCCGTGTTAGTTACTCTCCTGAGTTTGGGACCGATCCCGGTGCTTTTGGTCAGACCAAGTATGCAGAACTACACTTTCATCAGCCAAAAGGCAGAGAACCAAAGTATTCACTAGCTGATGCCTGTGTAGACTTGATTGGTGTGACAGAATCAGAAGTTTGGAGCTTTGGGAGAACCAAGCCAACTCCAGTTGATCGAAAACTGAGGAAACAATGCTGTCATTGAATAGGACACATACTGAGGTTGAGATAACAATATAATTATAATGCCCTTAGTCTGGAGAGCCCACAGGGCTAAAGAAATAAAGGGGGAAAAAAAGGTGGGGAGGAACACACATAAAGAAGGGATTTATTGACTGAGATGAAAAAAGATAGGGAGAACTGGTGTGGAAAGAGGGGGGGGGATTGATAGTAATGGATAGGATAGTTGGGTGTAAGTTGTTCGAGAGCCATGTCTTTGTGAGATAAAGGTCTAAAGAAGTAATGAACAGTTTCACAGATATCAAAGGGCAGTGACAGCTGTTTTTTTTTGGGGGGGAAAAGGGACCAGTTCTCCATACATACAGTTTTTTTTTAGACTTGCCTTTAGTGACTTGTTTACAAGGTGTATAGTTAATGCAACTGGCTGAGTTTGTGCCTGCACAAATGTTTAGTAGATCAGGATATGAAGACATAACTAACAATACCATTTAGAGGAGTTCTTCTTCAAACCAAATGGCATTTTTTAAAGTCAAAGATGACATAAGATTTTCTCATAACCCTCAGTGGTAAAAGTCACTAGGTAATAGTATGAGTCACCTGATTTATATGTGTTTTTTAGTCTCGGTAGGGTTTAGTCAATTCAAAATCCCCCCCCCCCCCCCCCCATTCTTTATTGATTACTTCTTTTTTATGTTTGGAAAAATAATTGTTAAATGTCAATCAGTGACCTTTGTAAAAATTGTTGTCATTTTAAAATATGAATTCCTAACGGGCAATGACCTTTCTAGAGTTCTCAGGATGAAAGGGTTAATGATAGGTTTCCAGGTGTTGTGAAAGTTCCTCTTTTGTGTCCCTGTTTATTTATCTTGGTTTCTTCATTTTTGCTTACAATGCTCACAAACAGACAATGTATGAATTGCACTTGGAATAGAATCCTCAAATCTGTTTGGGTTCTGGGGCCCCATTTGGAGATATTAAAAATAGATCCACTGAGCTCCCCTTAAAAATTTACCATAAAAGGTGAGGGTTGTTTGTTTAAAGTCAGAGTGTGTCTGCTTGAGAGTTGAGGAACAAACAGTCTGCATATAAATAAGCCAGATCTGTAAAATGAATATACACACAAAACTCACATTCAGAAACAAGACTTAATCCAGAAGTAGATGAACAACCAAAACTTTCCAGCCGGTGATAGCTAAGAAGAAGAAAAAAAATTCACAGGCTTAGATAATAAGAAAAAAAAAAAGGGGGAAATAACCATGACATAATTGATCAAGGAACAGTATTGTCTATTCACAGGTCGCCTGTCAGTGCTGGATGTAGCAGAGGTCAACCCAGCATTGGGTACAGATGACAAGAAGCAGATGACACTTAGCAATACGGTTGATGTTACAACGACTTTCTTTGGACGCCATCGACAGGGTAATGCTCCACACGGGTATGAAATTCCGAGACCATGATCTGACCAAGTGTGAAAATATGAATCAGAATTATGGAAACAATGTTTCTGTTGTTAAGCTGGCTGTGAGCACAAGTTTCTTTGTTTATTTGTTCTGAGGGATATTCTCTCTGAGATTTAATTTGCTTTTCAGGATCAATGGTTTATTTATGAGTGATGTTTAACCTCACCAGAACCTTACAACGAGTGATAAACACCTGGTGACACAAAGTACCACTTTTCAGATGAAAATCACCCAGGTACAAGTCCTAGAATCCCCATTCAACCGTTAGGGCCCCCGAACACAGCCAGGGTGAGGCTTTAAAATAAAAAAAAAAATTAAAAAACGGTGTCCCATATTTGGGCCCGTTTAATTAATTATTTCTATTGCTTTCAAAGTTTACTGACATTTTATTGATTACATGAAGTTAGTTAAAATTTACAACCAGGAAAAAGTAAGGCAGAAAGTTGAATAGAAGTTGTCCATCATGAATACATGTGAAATTTTGCCCTTATCCAAACTGGACTGCAGGTTACACCAGGCTCGTCTGGCCGAGATGGGCGCCCCAGTTATATCAACTTTGGAGGTTGAGTGGGGTATCTAAATTTGTCAGGTTGGTCTGCTATCCAGATTAAGGTTTTATATTCTCAGGTTGTCAGATCTTCAGGAGGAAAAAAAGAGGGGAGGGGGGAGCAGCTGCTACTTGGAAATTTTGAAATATCAACCTCAAATACTGGTTTCCAACCAGTTTCAAAATTCTTCTTGTCCTATCAGTTTTAAGTTTTTGGATATTATTGCATTGTGCTAGTTGACAGTACTGCTGAGATGTTTTGGCCAGTACTTTATTTGGCTTTTGTTGACCAAATTAGCCTTCCCGGTTACATTAGAAATGTCATTATAATAAAAGTGTTGATTTGCTGCAATTGTAAAAAATGTAAAAAAAAAACAAATAATCTTTCTGTTTTATTCTGTAAATAATACTGGATACTTGTAATTGTTTTAATACTGTTAGAGTTACCCTAGTGTTTCCTCATTCACATTGAGACCACAAGAAAAGTTTCAATGAATTTTTGGGATGTTTCTGAACCAAAGAAAAGAAGAATAAAATAAACCAGAAACACTCATACCAGACAAGGAAAACATTCTGAAGATCATGCATGAAGAAAGAAAATTAGATGAAATAACAAGTGTAGGGATGTGTGAATATGGAATTAAGTGTGGAGTCAGTATTAGCCAGGACAAAGTGTTTCATACAATGACCTGTTGGGGTAAAACTAACGTTAGTCTCCCCACGGACAGCCCATATACACACTAGCTAACTTCTGATTGGTAGTTTCTGAAACTGTAACCTTGGCACAAGGTTACTGGGGTGTTCCGCAATGCCGTTGATATCGCATATTGTATATTTCAGCATGCCAGTGCTTTCCACATTCCAAAAATATGGACAAACTGGGTCTAACACAACTTCCCTGCAACCTGCAACCTATGTCACAGGCATTTTTTTCTCGGAATAAAAAAAATGTAAATGCAAGACAACCCAGAAAGCAAACAACAGAATCTCACACCTGTAACCTGCATGAAAGTAGACCAGCCCCATAAACATGTGAATTAAATGTGACCTACTTTGTTTGGGGAGACTAACTTAAACCTAACCCCTGTTGGAACAAAAAGGGTCCACTGTTATATATAACAATGGTTTTTCTTAACAAAGAGGCTTGCACTAACCATAAGGTGTCTGTAAAGGGGTGTCGGCACTTGCCAGAAAGTATCTACATCACTGCTGGAAAAAATGATGTCTTGAAAAGTGTCGGTACAGCGTACTGCCAGATAGAGAGCCCTGTATATAACCCATCTGTGTCAAGTCCTGAATATCAATGGATACTTATCAGGATTAAAAGATAAGAAAAAGGAAATAAGACAATAGAAAATGCAAACAGGAAACTAAATCATTAAGAATGGCACAGAGAAAACACCCCCACAGTTTTATAACTACAGCTGTACTCAGCAAGTTGAATGTGGTCAGACTCTCCCCTCTCCCTAACATTTTTTTTTAATTCAATAAAATAAATTTGAATCTTAAGTCCTGAATCTGTTTGTATAAACTGTGTAAGTTGGCACTGAAGCATATTTTAAATTACTTTTAGTGAACTTGGTCACAAAAGTTGAATGAATATCTCAGAAACCTGCAAACCACAGCTTAATTCATACCTGAAATTGAAATCATAATATTGCTGCTTTATAGGTCATTGTTAAAAACAAAGTGTTCCAACAGAAGGACGCTCTAACAAAGACCAACAACAAGAAATCTGTTGAAAACACTTAAAGGCTGCAGTCAGCATTAGATGCAGATAATATCAGCAAAGGAAAACTGAAATTTCTTGAAACAGAAGGCAAGATTAACGAAGCTAGATTAATGTCCCTCATCCAAACCTGACAGTGGGGTAAACTGAGGTAATATTTGGTTTAGTCACTGGGTGTCCCAATTTTCTAAGATTGAACAGGGTACCCAAGATTTGTTCCTGTGGTCTGGCATCCAAATTATGGCTCTGTGAGTCACTGTGGTTCCAAACCTGCAGGAAACAGTCTTGGATAGGGTCTCTGTTAAAACAATAAAGAAGATTGTCAGATAAAATAATCTTGCCACAGCTGGGAATATGTGCCAGGATCAGCAACTTGGTTTTTAAAAAAACACACACTTGAGTGTTGAGCTAAAAACAGACATGACAGCACTCATGAAATTCCCATAAGTGCTCTGTCTCCATCTTCAGCTGCCAGTGAAGAGTTCCAATTCCAATGATGCCAGTAGCAGTGTGATTATATGTCCATCTAGCTCTTTCTGTGACTGTAGACTCGAGCAGATCTACTGGTTACTCCCAGCTGTACCATTCTCTCCAGATCATAATGATTGATTTGTGCCTCTGCATTGTACACTTGCTCCCAAAGAATCTTGACCACATCTAGCTTGTCGTTCATAAATTCACCACCCAGTGATGCAGAACCAGCCATTCTATCTATCTGTGCATTTTCCAACACTCCTGCTTACCCTGAAGAAAATATCCAAAGAAAGCTAACAACTCAGGACCTTGGAAGCGATGCTTGCCACTCTGTTGGGGCATAAACAAGCACTCTAACCACTACATTACTGCAACCTTCATACTGTAAAAGTGATATAATGTCTGATGAGTTTTATATTCATGCTTACATAAAAGATTATACATTCCTTGACTTGACAATATTTAACTGCATCCTAACTATACAGAATGTACATATATAGTTTCTGCTTGTTGACTTGTTAATGTTGTTTCATATTTATATCATCGAATACAGTGACTTACTTTTTAAAATAAACAAAGTTGAAGTTACTATATATTTTTCAGAGTAGTAAATCTTCTTTCTTTTTTTGTGTGTGTGGTCCATTTTTTAATTCATTCTATTGCTATTGGCGATATTAATAATAGCAATATATTTTACTACATTTTATTGAATTTGTTACCGGTTATGACATTATCATTGTTACAACTGTACAATGCTTTAAGTTATGTGTAGACAACTTATCACAGACATCAGAAGGAGACAGTCATCATTTTTCGGCCATTTTATGAGAAGAGGGAAAATGGAACATGTTGTGACCACTGGAAAGATCTGTGGAAGGAGGGATAGAGGAAGAAAACGAGAGAAGATTCTTGACAGTCTTGTTGCATGGCATGGAGGTGTGTCGGCACACGAACTGATACATGCTGTAGGAGACCATGGATTATGGAGAGGCATGATCACCCATGCATGCCAGTCGGCAAGGCACCTGATGATGATGATGATACTGATCTATACTATGTGTTTTTTAATGAGATAATATTTGTTTTATTTAAGTTTAGGGCCAGTGATACTATTCAGTAAACTGTTCACTTGTGATAACATGCAATGAATATTTCCCTAGTGGTAACATTAAATGAATTGTTCATGATAGTATGACAGATACTGTTGATTAGTGATTTCTGTTTATACCCTCTTCCTATCACTGTTGACACTTGAAGCATTCACAGGTTCTCTTCATTGCTGTTTGGAGTCTGCTTTTCTGCCTATGGTATTCTTGTCATCCTACATCCCTTTATTCCCCTTTATGATGTCCTTCTCCATTTATTAGTCGTCATCCTCCTACAGGATGCAACTTTTCATTTTTTCAAAGCCCCACCCTGGCTCTTACCAGGGGCCGCAATATAGCCTGGCCATAAATATGGCCTAATGGCTGAACGGGGTTTCTGGGACATCTCCGTGGGTGATCCTCATCCACATGGTGGCACTTTGTGTCATCGGGTGATTATCGCTTGTGTGGTGTCCTGGTGGGGTAGAAAGTACTACTACTACCTTCTCCATGTTTCCTAGGGTTGTCCATGTTTTATTTCTTCATCTATCGCCAGCTGGAGAGCTGTCCTTGCCAAAATGCCATGAGGCTTTCAGCAAACATGACCAAGTCATCTCCATCTCCTTCCTTTGATAATGATTGCCAGTGTGAATATTTTGTTCTCCTCCCTAGTTCTTCATTTCTGGTCTTATTTGGCTTGAATATTTGTGAGATTCTCTGTAGACATATAGTTTTGAAAGTCTCTAGTTTCTGTGTAATCCCACTTTCATTTTCCAACATTCACTGTTGTATTACTAGTAATAATATGGGATGAGATATTCACTAGCCATAATATGAGATGTGATGTTCACTACCAATAATATAAGATGAGATGTTCACTAGTGATAATATGAGAAGAATTGTTCAAGAGGTTAATATTTGATGAATTCTTCAGAGGTGATAATTATGAGAAGAATTGTTCACTAGGGAAAGTATGAGTTGAATGGTTTACTAGGGATAATGTGAGGTGCATGGTTCATTAGTGCTAAAATTCAACGAATTGTTTACTAGGGATAATGTGAGGTGCATGGTTCATAAGTGCTAAAATTCAACGAATTGTTTACTAGGGATAATGTGAGGTGCATGGTTCATTAGTGCTAAAATTCAACGAATTGTTTACTAG